TATAAAATGTTTGTAGTGCTTCTGTATTACGCTTAATGGCTTTGGACATATACTAATATAATTAAACTATATATTTATTTTCTTTTTAAGTATAATTTTTCCAAGGATTTTTTAAAATACTAAATGTTTTTTTAATATATAGAAATATGTCTAAAGATAAAAAATAATATATAGTATAGTATAATATGAGTAAAAATCCCGAGGATATGACAATGGATGAAATCAAGGAGCAACTCGCAATATACAGCAGATTGTATTACAACAAGCGCAGAAATGATGAAAAGTATATGCAACTGAAACGGGAATCTGCGCAACGACACATTCAAAAAAAGAAGATCCGTGAATATGAAGCTATACACAATATCAAGATCAGCCCCGATGAGATGACAGAAGAACTGTTATCTGAAATAATGAATGCAAAAAAGCCTTTTAAAGCAAAGCGCGGCACACCCAAATATGATATGAGCAAGTTCAAGATCATAAAGCCGATGGATGGCGAATGATGATTTAATTTAATTATTAAATCATTATTTTCTTTTGTTTTTATATGAGTGAGAAACAAAAAATTCTTAATGATGTATATTTTGATCGCGCGGGGTTTGGCTCAAAAAGCCGGACTTTAGAAGAAGCACGGGAGAAAGATAAAACCATCACAATGTCTGATATCAACGAGTTTTTTAGAAAGAATGTTGATCAAAAGCGAAAGCCCGTCGGTTCAAATAGCTTTGTCGCCCCCCATTCAGCATATGAGTATCAGATGGACTTATTTTTTATAAATGATTTGGAGGATCAAAAATTTAGAGTAGGAATGTTAATGATTGATATTTTTGATAAGTTTATGCATGTCGTGGCAATTAAAGGTAAGAAGGAAGAAGATTTAGCAAGTGGGATGATTGAGTGCTTACATAAAATGGGGAAGAAGCCAAAAATAATTTATACAGACGACGAGGGANNGGAGCAATGAACAAGGAGGCAATACAGAAGTATTTACAGGAACAGAACATAGAACATCACAGGACTAGGGCGCATCCAAATTTTAGCGAGAGAGCTATTAGGACGTTCAAAGATTTATTATATCGTCGTGTTGAAGCCGATCAGAAAAAGGGTAAGAACAATAATCAGTGGACTGATCATATTCTTGAAATATTATTAACATATAATCATAAAATGAAACATTCCGCGACTGGATTCACCCCAAAGGATGCCAGAAAACCGAGCAACGAATTAAAAGTTAAACTGCATTTAAATATGAATGCTAAACGAAATCGGGTATATCCTGAATTAAGTGTTGGTGATGAAGTTAAAATATTCAGGAAGAGGAAACCCAATGAAAAAGAAAGAGTGGGCAATTTTAGCCAAAATGTTTTTACCATAGAAAGAATTGATGAAAAACTGGGTCAAAAATATTATTATGTTGAAGGTAACAATAGAGCGTATTTACGCTTTGAGTTGTTAAAGGTGTAGCTGTGGTGGTTTTCGCAACTCGAGTTGTAAGTTGTTTTACGATTTGCAACTTGGAGTTGTGAGTGGTTCGTCCAATCGGAACTTGAAGTCGCGAAGTGTTCTGCTCCAGGTTGAGAGTGGTTGGAAAGAGTCTGAATTACAGCATGTTTGTATGTTTTTTGGCAACATGTTCGTTGAGTGTGTTTTTGTGCTGTCAGCTCAAACGGAACACGTGTGAATAAGGTTCACAAAGCTGCCAAGCAGTAGCACAGCCTTGCGGACATATTTGTCTTCTGTTGGGTCAGGAAAGTTTTAGCATAGGCGTTAAGTTGCCATGTGTTGATGCGAGACTTGCAATGGCAGAGCCTGCGAGCAAGAAGCGGCGGCTTGCGGATGTGGGGCCAAGGGAGGTGCCTGACTGGATAGAGGAAAGACTCAAGCAGTTACATCTGGAAGCACGTCATGCAAAGACCGCGCGAGCTGCCCTGCAGCACTTCACCCGAGAGGCTTTGTCACAAATCACGATGAAGGGCCTGGACTATGCTCTCGAGGAAGCATTTCCAGACACGGCCCTTCGGAAAGCTGTAGTGTGCGCACTGCATGGCTGCATAGATGAACATTTGCCACCAACTTCCGCCACTTCGATTGTAAAGTAGTGTTTGGTCCGCCTTCTGTTTTTCATGTTGCTTTACCTTAGTTGATTACCTTACTTATTGGGTTTAGGGGTTGGCCCTTTGGTTGTAGCGTAGTGGTTTATTCCCCCCTAGGTTTGGTTTCCTCGTAGGGTGTCCCGACTGGGTTACTTGATTGGGTTGCTTAGTCGGGGTTGGGGGTTGGGTGTTTTTTTGGTTTCGCGCGGTTAAGGCTTGGGATTCAGCGTTTTCTGCTTATCCTTAAGGTGGTGTGGGTTGTAGCCTGTTAACAAGTTGTGGGTTGTTCTTTGAGCCTCAGGTTGAGCCCGCAACAGATGCTTTTTGTGAATGGCTGGAAGAGGCGGTGCAGTCCGAGCCGAAGACTTGGGGCAATGGCAAGGAGCTGACCTTCTCCAGCAAGATCTTGGGCAACAACGGTATGGGCAATGTCCTCATTGTTCGCAAGTGCTATGTGCAGATGAAGGAGGAGGCAATGTCGTGGCTTTGTGCACAGCCGGAAACCGACCGAATTGGATTGTTTGTCGTGACAGGCACACCGGGAATTGGCAAGACTTTATTCTTGGGCTTTATGGCTGCAGTTCTGGCTGCAGAGCAGAAATATCATATCGTTGTCCAGCATGGGGGCATGTGGTGGTCGCGACAGGTTGGTGGGAAAACGACGGCTCACTACGAAGCAAAGCCCGTGGAGCTGCTTCAAAAATCCGCCACTTTGTTGTTAGCAGACCCTCATGGAGGCGATGGACGTGTGGACATACAACCGCGTATGGCGGGATGCACACTGGTTTTCACCTCACCGTCCAAGAAGAGCTATGACACGCCGTATAAACAGCAAAGGAACCACAGCACCATCCGCTACATGCCTGTTTGGTCAGTCGATGAGGTCTTGACCCACAGAATGAAGTTGTTCCCGAATAGTTCTGAAGATCAGATCAGGCTGGGGCATTCACTTTTGGGTGGAAGTCTGCGATGGTTGGGGCAGCTCTTGAACAGTAAAGGTGACTTGGACGTCGCCGCCCGTAATATGGTTCAGCAAAGCATGCACAACTGCACCTATGACAATCTTTTCGAAGCGGCCTCGAGTGTGCCATCCGATATGCAAGGCGGACAGAGCCACATGAGTCTGCTGTTGCAGATTCATTCTGAATGTCCTTTTGACAAATCAACTACGGAGCTTGTTGAGTCATCCGTTGTCAGCGAGGCGATTCGCGACAAGCTGGATGCCAATAGCAGAGCAGCACGTCCGCGCTTCATCAACGCATGTTTGGACATACCTGCCCTCGGCTCATTTGTTGGGGGCCTTGTCCAAGATGAGGTGTATGAGAAACTTACACAGGGTGATGCGAATCACATTCTGAAAGTCAGGTCGTTGTCATCCGATGAGACTTCTGACGTGCAGGTACCGTGCCTTGTCAGGACACTCCGCAGGAAAGAAGGCAAACCAATTTCCAAACAATCCTTGGAGCCTGGCTGTATTTACCACCCAAAGAATAAGATCTTCCCAGCTACAGACTTTTTCTTTGTGGTCGACAGCAGTGGCAGCTTGGTGCTGTGGCTGTTGCAGATTACCAAGAGCACTTCGCACGACTGCAAGATGGAGAGAATGAAGGACATGTTTGAGCAGTATTTCAAGGCGGATACGCTGCACAAGATCGGCATCATTAAATGGGTTGTTGTGACGCCTGCACAAATCGGGAAGAAATACCATGCAGAGCAAACCGTCAAGGGCGCATGGACGAAGACGGACAAGACGGCAGTCAAGGTAGAGCAATACGTCTCGGCCTGGAAGGTTTGAGTCCACGCAGCCAGGAAAATGAGTTGATGTGCTTTGGGAAAGGAACCCCCTATTTAGGCGTATGGCACCTAGGGGTGTGTTGGAGTCCTAAGATGGTATTCTTGGGGATCATCCTACTGGGGCTGAGATCTTAAGATAGTTATCCTGGGGGTGGTGAGATGTTGAGATTTCTATCCCAGGGTGGGGGGTGGGGGGCGGTGGCGGGGGGTAGCATCTTCTACGAGGTGGACATTGCCTCTTTTCGTGTGGTGAGATCAGGCTGTGGATCAATGGTTCTGATGGGGGGGCAAGTGGGCTGGTTTTGATGGAAAATGTCGTGGAACTGGGCTTTTGGGGTGCAGTTCTTAAAGGGTTGGTGAAGAAGGTTGCAAAATTGTGGATTTTTGTTATTTTTTTTGCAGGGGGGGGGGGGATGGTGCGATTTTGGTGGGGCTGTTGGCTTGAGTTCGCGCGGGTGTGTCCTTGTTCGCGCAGGTGTGTCCTTGAGTTCGCGCGGGTGTGTCCTTGAGCTTGCTGGGGTGTGGTGTTGGGGTCGCTGGAAATACGTCAGAGTAGCTCTGAAATATCTCGGGGTCATGCCGTAGAACCTCAGGGTTTGCAACCCTAAAACCCTAAACCCTGAACCAAATTCTACGAGGAACCCCTTGCCCCTTTTGAGCAATAATGCCACCTTAGAGATAATAGATGGGGTTATGGTTATTCCTAAAATTGTGTTGATAATGGGGAAGTAGTAGTGATATATCGGTGAAGT